TGCGAAAATATTTTGTTTGAATGATATTCTTAACGAATTTCAATGCCTTAACCATAGCCTCCACGTCCTCCCTATTGGAGTAGTATTTGGGATCAATTAGGGGCGAGACGTACGGGTCGTTTGACTGCAAACAATTGCGAAATAATTCAAGAATTCATATAACGTGTGAAATTCATGCCATCGCCCAATATGTGTATATAATAGCATTTGGTGGCGATAAATATTCTCGACTTTTATTCAGTGCTATTTTGTGTGAAGTTTATGTCTATTGAAACGTAAACTAAAAAATATACTCTACTTTCTTTGTAAATATTTTCTGTATAATTTAAATCATTATAAAAAATGTTTATAAATTCCTTCAAAATAGTGAATGAAAATCAGTTTTAATGAAAAAGACCGTAAACTTATCATTTGCATCACATTCCGACAAATGCCATATAAATAGTTTAAATAAATTTATAGGATATTAAAACTTCCTTTTATGTCCAAAAAGGACTAAATGTCGTATAAAACAAATTCATAAATGTTAATGTAAATGTCATTCAATGGTTTTTAAAATTCACTTGAAACACTTAAAAAATGTTTAAACTCCTATTGATTGTATTACTATCTCTTGGTCAGTATTATATGATTTGAAATGTAAATTGTTTTCATAAAAAATGTAATTTTTCTTATCAAGTATTTTGCGAAGAATCGCGCGATTTCGACAAAAGATTCCGTGAATGTATTGGGGATAATAAATGTAAATAAAAACTAATGATTTAAATGATTAAATGTAAGAAAAACTTTGTATTAACATAACGCCGGTATGCTATTATCTCGTACAGTTGAGGTGGAACTGGTTCTGTGAATGTATTGGGGATAATAAATGTAAATAAAAACTAATGATTTAAATGATTAAATGTAAGAAAAACTTTGTATTAACATAACGCCGGTATGCTATTATCTCGTACAGTTGAGGTGGAACTGGTTCGTGTGGGCACTATTAAGGTGGATGTGTCCCACTGTTCCCGTGAATTCTTTAGGGAGCATAGGGTGTGGTTAGTGGCCTATAAGATCACTAAAGACGGTTCCAGCAGTAAGGATGACATCAAAGCCTCAATCAGAAGTTCGTTTAAAGCTCCGACACCAGATATAGTGAAGAAAAAAATGAACACAACGACCGTAATCTTTGAAGGATTGGAACCCAAATTTAAATACAAATTAGGAATAGTATTAGAGGATGACCATGGTTATATAGATTGGGATGACATTTATCTTGATACAAATCTGACAAGTGTTGTTTCGGAACTGGTAATGACCACTTCCTCGACAGTCAACTCTTCGTTTAACTATGTTTTAAGACTCTTTTTATAGCTATTTTTGTATCGCTTTATGACTCTTTTATAATATTTGAAATTCTTTATAATCACTCTTACAATCAGTCGATAGTTATCTAATATTTAGTAAATTCTGTGAATCAAACGGGAACTGGCAAATTGACCTAAATACCAATTGACCTAAACTTAAATAACTTAATGACCAATAGACTTGTGACCATTGTAAGGATAGGTAAGGTTAGNTTGCCAGTTCCCGTTTGATTCACAGAATTTACTAAATATTAGATAACTATCGACTGATTGTAAGAGTGATTATAAAGAATTTCAAATATTATAAAAGAGTCATAAAGCGATACAAAAATAGCTATAAAAAGAGTCTTAAAACATAGTTAAACGAAGAGTTGACTGTCGAGGAAGTGGTCATTACCAGTTCCGAAACAACACTTGTCAGATTTGTATCAAGATAAATGTCATCCCAATCTATATAACCATGGTCATCCTCTAATACTATTCCTAATTTGTATTTAAATTTGGGTTCCAATCCTTCAAAGATTACGGTCGTTGTGTTCATTTTTTTCTTCACTATATCTGGTGTCGGAGCTTTAAACGAACTTCTGATTGAGGCTTTGATGTCATCCTTACTGCTGGAACCGTCTTTAGTGATCTTATAGGCCACTAACCACACCCTATGCTCCCTAAAGAATTCACGGGAACAGTGGGACACATCCACCTTAATAGTGCCCACACGAACCAGTTCCACCTCAACTGTACGAGATAATAGCATACCGGCGTTATGTTAATACAAAGTTTTTCTTACATTTAATCATTTAAATCATTAGTTTTTATTTACATTTATTATCCCCAATACATTCACGGAATCTTTTGTCGAAATCGCGCGATTCTTCGCAAAATACTTGATAAGAAAAATTACATTTTTTATGAAAACAATTTACATTTCAAATCATATAATACTGACCAAGAGATAGTAATACAATCAATAGGAGTTTAAACATTTTTTAAGTGTTTCAAGTGAATTTTAAAAACCATTGAATGACATTTACATTAACATTTATGAATTTGTTTTATACGACATTTAGTCCTTTTTGGACATAAAAGGAAGTTTTAATATCCTATAAATTTATTTAAACTATTTATATGGCATTTGTCGGAATGTGATGCAAATGATAAGTTTACGGTCTTTTTCATTAAAACTGATTTTCATTCACTATTTTGAAGGAATTTATAAACATTTTTTATAATGATTTAAATTATACAGAAAATATTTAAAGTAGAGTATATTTTTTAGTTTACGTTTCAATAGACATAAACTTCACACAAAATAGCACTGAATAAAAGTCGAGAATATTTATCGCCACCAAATGCTATTATATACACATATTGGGCGATGGCATGAATTTCACACGTTATATGAATTCTTGAATTATTTCGCAATTGTTTGCAGTCAAACGACCCGTACGTCTCGCCCCTAATTGATCCCAAATACTACTCCAATAGGGAGGACGTGGAGGCTATGGTTAAGGCATTGAAATTCGTTAAGAATATCATTCAAACAAAATATTTTCGCACCTTTAATGTGTACGCCTTTGGAAAGCCTACTGAATGTGACAAAGACTTAATGAATATTAACAAGTACAACGAGTGCTTAGCCAGGTATTTGACTATAACAGCCAACGCGCCGGTAGGCACCTGTCGTATGGGCGACCCCTCACAACCTACATCAGTACAGTGTGTAAAGTGTACGTGGACAAAATGAAGCGTTATATTTTAATACACAATTAAAACAATTAATGTAATTAATTTAAAATAATAAGTAACCGGATTAAAAGCCCACTAAATGGTGTATAAAATGATATCATTAAAGTTCTCTTGGTGTCTCAAGAGGAGGGCCCATGTTCACTTATTTAAGAATTTAAATTTGGTTACATACTAAATTTGGACATTTAAAACTCATGTTATAGTTAAGTGATACAGGTAAAATTAGGGTTGCTAGAAAGGGTACATATTACACTTCAATAATTAATCATTAACCATTAAAATATTATAAGTTCAAAGAATTGGTCATCGCATTTATGAAAATGAAATTTTCGTTTCATTTTCTCAATATAAAATATTCTGTAAATATTTTATAAATTAATCCAACAAGGCATATTTTGGTAGGATATTAGGCAAAATGGATGAATGGACTTCGATGGTCTAAGTAAAAATAAAAATGTACCTGGTGTGTCCTCTGACAGTTGTTTCTATGTGGTTTTCTAATTTACTATGATTATTGGATAAATATTGAGAGCAATGGTGATTCATCGAATAAACTTTATATATAATTAATAGATGGGTGGGGGTATTCAAATATAATATGACCAGAGTCGGGAACCTGAAACATCCCGAAATAAGTGAGGTCACAAAAAGGAAATCAAAAACTGCATTGATTTCTATGCTATATTTGTCCACGTACGGTTTACACACTCTGTAGTGGATCCGGAGTTACGTGTGATTGGTCTGAAAGGTCTGCGAGTGGCCGACGCCTTGGTAATGCCGACCCAAGTGTCGGGCAGTCCGTACGCCACGACTCTGATGATTGGCCAACGAGTGGTCGAGTTTATCATCGAAAAGGACCGCAAATTCTTGCATAAAGTGTGGCAAACAGTGAGCGCCGGTATAATGAATGCAATTTTGTTCACATTTCAAACGATCGCCAGATATTACGGATTAGAGGAGTCGGAGAAACTCATAGCATTGGCCGACACACTCACTGGCAATCAATTAACAGAGTTGGCCAATATTGCCTTATTTTAACACACAATCATAAGTCTATTCATTTTTAAAGGGGTTTGTCATAGGTTTTTAGGGGTTCAATAATTTGTATCAATTGGTGTCAAACAGAATTCATTTGTAAAACATCTCATTATTATTAATGAATACAAATAAATCTATTTAAAAATCTTCGTAAACAAGTTTACGTAAAACATGTATATTATAACAAATCAGAAGATAAAACTTCGAAATCAAATAATTGTTAAAATCTGTACTTTTCACACAAATGTAATTTAATTCAAAATGAATTTCTTTTCAAAAGACGGTTAACTTAACAATACATTCAATCGTATAATTTTTTAATAAAAAGTATCTATCAATTGTCGGGCAATTAGTGATGTGATTAGGGGTCAAAGTCTCGCATTTATACAAAAATAGCCGTTATTTTAGGTGTAATTTAAATCACTTCTCAATCGCTATATCTTGTGGTCAATAGTATTGATTTGAATACAGCTATCAATGGACGGCAAGAGATGTCGAATATGTCTGAAAGGCAATGATCTCATAATTGGCTGCAACTGTCAGCAAGAGTTGTCTTTCGTTCACCGAAAGTGTCTCCAGGAATGGATCCAATTGACAGCCAATCAGTTCTGCTACATCTGTGACTATAAATACAAATTACAGACAAAACACAAGTCACTCATCCATTGGTTGTTAGAAAGGTGACCACAATTTGAGACATTAATAGAGATTGTCGTGAAGACAATAAACATAGCGCACTGTTACCTCTTGGGACGGGTGGTCAGTGGGTTCGCTAATGTAAACCAGTTTTGGTTGTGGACACTGTTTGTCATTGTATTCTTGAGGTGTCTTAACATCACTTATGTCTGGATTCTGTTCAGCCATAGTCTCGTCAACGACTACAGCGTTTGGAGTAAAAGCCATTTCATCGTCAAAGTGATGCCTAAAGACACCACAACTCATACCAACCACTGATCGTATCAATCAATAAATTACTTTCAAATTCTCTTAACTTTACACTCAATAGTAGTTAATTATTAAAAAAGTGAATAAAACCAAAGTTTTACACAATTTTATACATCGTTTTGATTTAATAAAGTTTCACTTTTTAGGCTAATATTTATTGCAATAGTAATAGACTTGAAAAGG